CCAGAGGAGAGAGGGGCCCCAGACCCCACCAGGCCCAGGACTCAGACCCCATAGGACCCAGAGGAGAGAGGGGCCCCAGGCCCCACCAGGCCCAGGACTCAGACCCCATAGGACCCAGAGGAGAGAGGGAGCCCCAGACCCCACCAGGCCCAGGACTCAGACCCCATAGGACCCAGAGGAGAGAGGGGCCCCAGACCCCACCAGGCCCAGGACTCAGACCCCATAGGACCCAGAGGAGAGAGGGGCCCCAGACCCCACCAGGCCCAGGACTCAGACCCCATAGGACCCAGAGGAGAGAGGGGCCCCAGACCCCCACCGGATCCAAGAGCCAGTCCCCCGAAGCCACAGCAGACCCCAGCTCTCAGTGCAGAGGGCTCCTCCAGAGGAAACACTGGGGACACTAAAACAATACAATAATACAATAGAAAGTAGAACAATAAAATGTGACAATAAAAAGAAAAATGGCAGCTGCCTAATATAATAACAATAGTAAATGGGTAGATACAATAAATAATTAAAAATAGTAAATAATAAAAATAAATAAAAATATAATGTGTCTAAAAACATAAATAGATGTACTAAAAAGCAATAATAAATAATAAATACTAATCAAAAGCTGCTCTAAAAAGGTGCGTCTTGAGCCTACTCTTAAAAATATGAACGCTCTCTGCGGCCCTGAGCTCCTCCTCAGACTGTTCCAGAGACGGGGGCCGTAGTGCTGGAAAGATGCCTCACCGTGAGTGTGTGTCCTGACTTTGGGGATGGTTAGGAGTCTGCTGCCGGAGGAGCGCAGGAGCCGGGAAGGTTCATAGGATAAAAGCAAATCTGAAAGATAAGAAGGCCCAAGACCATTAAGACATTTAAAGACCATTAAAAGAACCTTAAAATCGATCCTGAAACACACGGGGAGCCAATGCAGCGATTTTAAAACCGTGTAATGTGGTCCCGCCCCTGTAATGTGGTCCAGGACCCCCCCTGGTCTTAGTCAGGACACGTGCGGCGAGTTTTGAAGTAATTGTAAACCTGAAATGTTCTTTTTGGGAAGACCAGAGAGCAGGGCATTACAGTAGTCAATGCGACTGGTGATAAAAGCATGCATCAGCGTCTCCGTGTTGGCCCGAGAGAGAATGGGGCGGACTCTGGCGATGTTCTTTAAATGATAAAAACCTATTTTTGTGATGTTCTTGATGTGAGGAATAAAAGTCAGCTCAGAGTCAAAGATTACGCCCAGGTTTTTCACTTGTGATGATGGATTAAAAGAGTGTGATTGGAGTTTCGGTAAAAGTTTCTCTCTCTGGGCCTCAGGACCGATGACTAAAACCTCAGTTTGTCCTGGTTAAGCTGGAGAAAGTTTTCTGCCATCCAGGATTTCAGGTCTAAAATGCAGTTAAAAAGAGCATCCATTGGCCTGGTGTCATCAGGAGACATGGAGAGTACAGCTCCAGGAGATGTACAGCTGTGTATCATCAGGAGATGTACAGCTGTGTATCATCAGGAGATGTACAGCTGTGTATCATCTGCATAACTGTGGAAGTTAATTCCATGTCTCCTGACGACACCGCCAAGAGGGAGCATGTACAGGTTAAAAAGGACTGGACCTAAAATGGAACCCTGGGGCACACCACATGTGATTTTATGGACCTGAGAGGAGCAGGTATCCAAACTTACCATGAAGGATCTGTCTGTTAAATAAGAAGTGAACCATTTGTGGACAGCACCAGAGAGGCCGAGGTGTTGTAGGCGTGATAAAAGAATGGTGTGGTCTACTGTATCGAAGGCAGCGCTAAGATCCAGTAGAACCAACACAGTCACCTTTTTAGAATCATAATTTAGTCTAAAATCATTTAAAAATCTTTAAAAGAGCAGTCTCTGTGCTGTGGTTCACCCTAAATCCTGATTGAAATTTCTCTAAAATTTGCTGCTGATCTAAAAAGGCATTGAGCTGGGTAAAAACAAGTTTTTCTAAAATTTTGCTTAAAAATGGTAAGTTGGATACCGGTCTGTAGTTGTTAAAATCATTAAAATCTAAATTGCTCTTCTTCAGAAGGGGCCTCACCACAGCCGCTTTGAAGGCTGCAGGAAAGACCCCAGTCTGAAGAGAGCAATTCATCAGGTTTAAAAGCTCCTCTCTAAAAGATTCATAAAATGACTTAAAAAATGGAGTGGGGACTGGATCTAAAAGACATGTGGTGGGCCTCACTGAGGAGAAAACTTTATCAAGCATCTCAGCATCAACCAGGACAAACTGTCCAGTGTTTCCTCTGGCGAAGACAAACAATTCAGATGTGTTAAAAACAGTTGTGCGGTTGGATAAAATGTTACATCTGATTGTATTTATCTTCCCCATGAAGTGGACTGCAAAATCCTCACAGAGGGAGTCTGTGGGGGTTTAAAAGAGACATGCTAAAATCAGGGTTTAAAAATGGTGTCGATGGTTGAAAAGAGGATTTTTGGATTATTTTTGTTCTGGCTGATTAGTTTTGCAAAGTAATTGTTCCTGTTTTTCCTGATTGTTGTTGTTGTAAATTTGATGTCGGTTTTTATATATTTCGTGCTTGTTTGTCGTTTTGAATCTTCGCTCTGCCACCCTGCACTGTTTTTATACTCCTTGCTCCCTCATTTTTCCAAGGGGCTATAGATTTTTGTTGAATGTTACAATTTTTAATGGAGCAACCTGATCCAGTGTAGTTCTTAGTCTACTGTTAAAATCATCTGCTATAAAATCACAGGGGGCAGGTAAAACCAACTGCGGAGTGTTATTTAGAATGTCCATAAAATTGCAGCCACTTCAGGGGTTAGACGTCGTTTCTTCACAGTTCTCACAGAGGTCTCCTGTTATACAAAACCAGTGATTTTAAAAAACACACAATAGTGGTCAGAGATAGCCAGGTCAACAACAGAGGGACACACCCGCACTCAGGCCATAAGTAATGCCCAGGTCGAGGGTGTGGCCCTCTGTTGTGCGTGGTCGGCTGTGTGACATGTTGAGTAAAATCCATGTAATTCAAAATACTTACAAACTCGCAGGTAAAATGGTCTGATGGGTTGTCAAAGTGGATGTTAAAATCACGGTTAAAACAATCCTATTATAGGAATTGTATAAAAAAGATAAAAACTCTGAAAATTCATTGATAAAACGGCTGCACTTTTTTGGTGGCCGATAGATGGTTACTGCAAAAATTTCGGGGCTGCTAAAAACAAGGGCATGATACTCAAAACTTGAGTATTGGTTAAAATTAATGGTTTTGGTGGCCAGGGTGTTTTTCCAAATTGAGGCTGTGCCACCACCTCTTTCTTCCTTCTCTTGTTTTAAAAGCAAAGCTAAAATCGGGAGGGGAGGCCTCTGTGAGAACAGCCGGAGCATCCGGACCCAGCAGGTCTCAGTTAAAAACATAGCATCCAGTTTGTGTTGTAAAATCAAATCATTAATGATAAAAGTTCTATTTAAAAGAGAGCGTACATTTAAAAGAGCAAAACCTGATGGTGGATGGAGAGTCATTTTTTGTTTGTAGTGAGGGGAGAAAGATGATGTGGAGGAGCAAAGGGCAACAGGGATGAGGGTGTTGAGGGACGGTTTCCGGAGTATTGGACGGGTCTGTAGGGGCGGGTGTCTGGACAGAACTGAAATTCCTTGTTGGGGGGGGGAGCAGGGACTGATGTTGGAGTCCAGCGGGGCAGGAATGATGTGGGATGGAGTGATGGGTTGTCAGAGGTGCGGGGGACGGGATTGAACTGAGTGGGTGATGTTTGAAATCAGGTACCGGGTGCCGAGTTTATTGATATGGAGTCCATCGGGTGTGAAGAAGGGGTGGCGGTTCCAGAACAAATTCAAATTGTCATTAAAACCAAAGTTGTGCTGCTGTGATGATTTTTGAAGCCAAGTGTGTGAGTGATAGTATCCTGCTAAACGTTCCACGCCCCGGTTCAACGTGGGCAGAGGGCCAGAGATAAAAAACACTTTTTCCGGTTTTTGATAAAGGTTTAAAAAGGTCCTTAAAATGGAGTTTGGTGATTTCAGATTGGCGGGAGTGCAGCATCATTTGTACCAACATGAATTATGATCCGGGTTATTGTGGGGGGTGCTGTCTGTAGAAGTGCGGGTAGTTTAGTGAGGATGGTAGGGACAGTGGCTCCGGGGAAAGCAGTGCGTGATGGCATTGAAGAACTTACAGTGTTTGATGATAGAGTCCCCCACCAGGAGTGTAGTTGGTGCGAATAGAGGTCGTGGAGGGGAGGGAGTGACTGGAGTAGGACCCGGGGGAGAGCAGGGGACAGGAGAGCGTTGGGATGCGCCCGGAGCAGAGCTGCTGCGAGCCCCGTGAGCTGCAGTGGAGCAGGAGGAGGGAGCCGGAGACCGAACCGGCGCCCCCGCAGCGGGGTTGGTGGTGGTGGTAGTGCGGGCGGTTGTGGGAGGGCCATGCCCCGGGCGGAGAGATCCTCCAGCAGGCGAGACAGCCTCCGCGGGGGGCTCCGCGCTGAGATAAAGCGCAGAGACCCCCCCGCGGGCGAGGCAGCAACTACGGGAGGACTCTGCGCCGCGGCACGGCGCAGGGACCCCCCCGCGAGCGATGCAGCGTCTACGGGAGGACTCCACGCCGTGTCAGGGCGCAGAGGTCCCCCCGCGGCCACCTCAGCGTAGGACCTGCTTTGTGTCTCGCCTCTGGGGATTCCCTCCGCGTCAGAGCGCACGGACCCTCCCACAGCAGGGACAGCGCTCCGGGGGTATCCGGTGCACGTCGGGGCACAGAGATCCCCCCGGGGCTTCCCGCAGTTGGTCCTGCGTGGACACCCGGCGAGCCCCGCGCTGATTTTAGAGCGTGGGAAGCTCCCGCAGCGTCTGCGCACAGCCTCCTCCACGGGCTGAGGAGCGTGGCTGTTTGCGGCGCCAGGCCTCAGCTCCCAGCCGCTTGGGTATCTGGGCAGCCGGGCTGGGGGATGAGGAGGAGGGAAGCGCTCCAAGAGGGACCGCTGCTCCGGGGAGCGCGCGGTAAGCTCGGGGTATGAGGCATGCTGAGGGGTGCATAGGGAAAAGAGGTTTTTCAGGATATTTTAATGTCGGTTTACATCATCCCACCCACGGGCGAATACAAGTAGCCTACAGGATGAGCCAGATCCTCACAAACATGAGTCGCCATTACCAACCAGTCATCATTGTGCTGAATATTCAATAAATGGTATTTAAAGACTGTACTGGACCAATCCCTAACTTTTACTCCACAACATGTGACTCAAGCTACAAGAAAGAGCACATGTTCTGATCACTTGCTACAGTAACCGTGGAAGGAGCTAACAGTCGAGTCTCAGACCTCCTATGGAATGTCTACCACGCGCCACTGTTCTCCTTCTACCTTTTCGTATACTCAAGGAGCAGGGAACCATAAACCACCTCTCGCACTGAGCAGTGTAGGTCTGAGGAGGCTACATGAAGCTACCAGACGGTTTTGGATGCTACGGACTGTTTCTGTGTTTCAGTCAAGGACGGTCAATGAATTCTGTTACGCTGTGTCTGAGATACAGAACGCTTCGTAATGACTGGCTGTGTCCCACAGAAGGTCATTAAAGAACATATTTAGTCAAAACCCTTGGTATAACGGCGGAAGTGAAACTGATACTTCATGAGCGTCGTTTGGCGTTGTCAAACAAATGAAACAGTTGCTTATAAGCTAACCTGTTACCATGAAACGATATATTAATTCTGCAAAGTGCAGTTACGGGTGACAGGTGTTAAAAGGAGTATATTGAGAAGATGACCCTTGACGCATTGTTGGAAACGGTATTGTGAAACCATCACATCGTGGAAACCTATGTGCTGGGAAAAAAATCTGTCGGCCAGCTCTGCCAACGACAGACCACGTTCTACTGTCAGTGTAAATTTAGCACAAGGTCTACAACCTGGTACAATGCATCTCTCCTAATCTGAGGTTATTGTATATTGTACACTGGTCCCTGTTCAAATAACTAAATAAAATGAAAATTAAATGAAAAGTCGCTTTGAATCCACTGATGCCTGTTCCGACTGTATTCCTGATGTTTCAATCAAGGATACCTGCACCGTGACTCAGGAGGAAGTCAGCATTCTTGTCCATGACCACATCCGGAAAGCCCCAGCCCTACGGCAACCCTCCCAGTTGTCCCAGAAACTGTTGCTCTGATCAACTTGCCCCTGTGCTAAAGACATTTACAACCTGTGCGCTAAGGAAACGTACTGTGCTTAACTGCTATAACCCTCTATTGTACATGTTACAGTTTGGGGAACTATTCCTTCGCCTATTTTCTTTGTGTAAATTGCTCATAAAACAGTCATCTTTTGATGCAGAGTCAAGCAGTATACTTTGTTTTTTATCTTTACAACCCTGGGGTTTTAAGTAATATTCATATTGTACAAGCGTCATATGATATTATATAAAAATTATGAATCATAAACAAAGAAAAAAAATCAAACTAAAAATCAATTTAACACAATGTATGAAAAAAACACAATGAAATGCAAAACAACAACTATTTCACACTGCATAGAAAATTTATTTTATGGTCTTGGGGATAATAAAGGAAAAAAAATTGAATCTCTAACTATTAACTTTCTTACAAAATTCCACTATAACAAGCAAAAACTCTGTACTCCTGATTTCCCTTCCTGAAAGCAGTTTGTCTATAGTGCTGGGGTTGCTTCTGTTAGCACAGATGACAAACCGTAAAACATAATAAACTAGCCAAAAAAAAACAAACAACATCATTTATTTATATAATACATATATTATATATACATCATAAACACATATGCGTCAAACTTTAACTGTAAATTTATTATCGTCTTTATCAAAAATGCGCACACCTTCATCCGGTACCTGCATCGCAGCTGGTAGATCAACTGTGGGAGAACACAAGTAAACGCAAGAGGAGTGAGACAACACACACTGAAGACGATCTTTGGCATTCCCCGTTGTGTTTTGTATCTCACAGCTGTTTGTACCTCACTGGTCACCCGCTATTGGACACGGACTTTCAGACAGCGTAGTCTATCCTTCCGTGCATCGGCACAGACAAATCAAAAGTTCGGAATAGCCCTGAAAAATGTACTTCACCCGAGGAAAAAAAAAGTAGTTGCTACGTTTTAAATAAAAACCCGTTCTCAGTAAATTGATCATTTGGTCAGATGAAACCAAAATCGAACTTGTTGGCCACAATGCAAAACGATATGTTTGGCGTAAATGCAACACAGCTCATCACCCTGAACACACCATCCCCACTGTCAAACATGGTGGTGGCAGCATCATGCTTTGGGCCTGCTTTTCTTCAGCAGGGACAGGGAAGATGGCTAAAATTGATGGGAAGATGGATGGAGCCAAATACAGGTCCATTCTGGAAGAAAACCTGTTGGAGTCTGTGGAGGATGCCATCTCCTTTGCTCTGAACTCTGTCTACAGTCACTTGGACACTAGTAAATCTGTGGCCAGAATGCTTTTCATCGATTATAGCTCTGCTTTTAACTGCCTTGTCCCAGGTAAACTGATTGAAAAGCTCATGTCTCTGGGTTTAAGTGTTGCCATGTGTAAATGGATTTTTAGCTTTTTAACTGACAGATCTCAATGAGTGTTTTTCTGATGTTGTTTCTGTGAGCACTGGTTCTCCTCAGGGATGTATTTTGAGTCCTTTGCTTTTTTACTTTGTACACTCACGATTGTGTGTCCTCCTCTGACTCAAACTTGATCATCAAATATGCTGATGACACCACCATCATCGGTCTCATCAGTGACACTGATGAATCCTCTTATAGAGCAGAGATACAAAATGTGGTTCAGTGGAGTCAAACTAACAACCTCCAGTTGAACGCATCCAAAACATGTGAACTGGTCACGACTTCAGTCGCAATAGTTCTCATTTGCCTGTCGTAATCGACAACTCCCAGGTGCAGATCGTAGAGGAGCAAGTTTCTGGGTTTAACTCTGTCTAACCTGAAATGGGTTAAAAACACTGACCGAGTCGTTAAGAAAGCTCGTCAGCGTCTCTACTTTCTGCGTAAACTTAGAGAATTTACCACTAACTCTAAGATTGTGCTTAACTTTTATGGCTGCACCATTGAGAGTTTACTTGTTGGTTCTGTGTCTGTGTGGTTTGGAAACATCACAGATAAAGAAAAGAGAGCTTTAAACAAGGTGCTCCGCTCTGCAAAGAGGACCGTGGGCTGTGAGCTTCCTGTTCTGGAGGTTCTTTATAAATCCACACTTTTAAACAAAGCTCTTAGGATTGTTAATGACTCTTCTGGCCACCCTGGGAAAGCCATGTTCCAGCTTCTTCCCTCTGGCAGAAGATATCGCTCTCTGAGATGCAGGACATCTCGTTACGCTAACAGTTTTTATCCACAGGCTGTTATCAGTGTGAACAGAGCACTTTAATGATTTGCACTTGTTTTGAAACGGTTTTAGTCGATCCATTTCACAGTGACATTTGTTTACTTTTTTATTTGTTTTATTTTGTCTTTTAATGTTGTTTTATGTATTGGTCTGTGCACACTGGAGACTTTTGCTAATGTATTCCAATGTGGTGTTTTTACTGCAAATGGCAAAATAAACTGAATCTGATAAGACCTGAGACTGGGACGGAGATTTATCTTCCAACAGGACAATGATCCAAAACATAAAGCCAAATCTACAATGGAATGGTTCACAAATAGACGTATCCAGGTGTTAGAATGGCCAAGTCAAAGTCCAGACCTGAATCCAATCCAGAATCTGTGGAAAGAGCTGAAGACTGCTGTTCACAAACGCTCTCCATCCAACCTCACTGAGCTCCAGCTGTTTTGCAAGGAAGAATGGGAAAGAATTCCAGTCTCTCGATGTGCAAAACTGATAGAGACATACCCCAAGCGACTTGCAGCTGTAATTGCAGCAAAAGGTGGCGCTACAAAGTAATAGCGCAAGGGGGCCGAATAATATTGCACGCCCCACTTTTCAGTTTTTTATTTGTTAAAAAAAGTTTAAATTATCCAATAAATTTTGTTCCACTTCACGATTGTGTCCCACTTGTAAAAAATATTTTTTATATCTTCATGTTTGAAGCCTGAAATGTGGCGAAATTTTGAAAGGTTCAAGGGGGCCGAATACTTTCGCAATGCACTGTAAACTCATCATTCTATCAATGTGCAGAAGCCTGTACTTTTCCACTACTTGTTTTGACTATCTCTGCTGGCACTGTGGCAGCTGCTGATTGGAGGACTCCATGCCTCCGCTCTGTATAATACACTTGCATTCTGTTGTTCGTGTTGTTCGTGCTGTCTCTACCATCGACAATAAAACATGTCTTCTGTCTGAATGAAAGACGCGACCCCAGACTTTGTCATCTTCTTCAAAGCGTTACAGTAGTCAAGTCTTGAGGTGACAAAAGCGTGGATACGTTTTTCCGCGTCACTTTTAGGAAGGAAATTCCTGATTTTAGCGATGTTCCCCAAGTGGAAATACGCCGTTTTAGTTGCTTGGCTTATATAAGCCTTGAAGGAGAGTTCTCCGTTGAAGATTCCTCACAGTGTTACTGGGTAAAATACTGACATTATCGAGAGTGATTATCTGGTTAGTGAGGGAGTCACGCAGGCGCTTCGGACCGAGTAGGATCACTTCTGTCTTCTCCGGCTTAAGCAGTAGGAAGTTAAGAGTCATCCACGTACCTGAAAAGCCCACCACGGTGCCAAATGACTCCAAGGTGTGTTGTGTTTTAACTGTTGATTCTCTGACCTGTGTTGGTGATTTCAATGGTTTTGTTAAGTCCTCAGAGATGACTTCTGTTGTGACCTAGGGCTTTACAAGAATAAATTGTGTGTAATTGTAATTGCAAGGATTTTAGCGAACAAACTAAATCACCTGTGAACGACTAACTTTGTTCTGTAAATAAGGCCATTATCACAAGCTGAGCTGAAGTTGCTTCACTTTGCCATCTTAGGGGGTGGGGGAGGGCCTGAATACAGTTTTTCTCTAGTCGCTTTGGTGCATGTCTCACATCAGACTTAAAGGACTAATACCTATTAGTTCAACCTCTGCGTACGTGTGTGTACATGTGTGTCTATGTGCCTGTGTGTGTGCGTCTGTCTCTGAGTGTGTGATGTGCAGCAGTTCTGTACCTAATTATAGCAAATCTTCATATGAAATTGAGTTAAAAACGTCTCATTTTAATAAATACTTTGTTTCACAAAGTCAAATGTGTCATATATTATCTGTGGTGAAATCAGACACATTGATAATGCTTGTGACGTGGAACACATTTGCTGCGTCATTTGCATACTGTCCCCTAGATCCAGGGGTGTCCCATTTCTTAGGGAGAATATCCTGTGAGTGCACTATGGGAAGGCACTTTTCTGGTGAGGGCACTCACACCTGGAGGGCCCACAGAAATGGGACGGGGCCTTGCTGTCTTCCATCAAATGTCTCACGGCATTCTTTGAAAATCCAAAATATGCCTTCACTTCAGACTTTGTACTCTTTGAGGATGATACATGTCCTAAGCGCTGTTGTCCCCTCTTTCAACCATGAAAGTAATCCACCAAGATCATATCCTTTTTTTAAAATAAGATGGTAAATGTTGTAGTTAATTGTTCTCTCTCTGGTTTCTCTATGGTCTCTCCCCGGCCTCTATCAGGTATCTGGTCTCTCGCAGATCTTTCTAGGCTCTCACTGATTCCTCTCTGGTCTCTCGCAGATCTCTCTAGGCTCTCACTGATTCCTCTCTGGTCTCTCGCAGATCTCTCTAGGCTCTCACTGATTCCTCTCTGGTCTCTCGCAGATCTCTCTAGGCTCTCACTGATTCCTCTCTGGTCTCTCGCAGATCTCTCTAGGCTCTCACTGATTCCTCTCTGGTCTCTCGCAGATCTCTCTAGGCTCTCACTGATTCCTCTCGGGTCTCTCGCAGATCTCTCTAGGCTCTCACTGATTCCTCTCTGGTCTCTCGCAGATCTCTCTAGGCTCTCACTGATTCCTCTCTGGTCTCTCGCAGATCTCTCTAGGCTCTCACTGATTCCTCTCTGGTCTCTCGCAGATCTCTCTAGGCTCTCACTGATTCCTCTCTGGTCTCTCGCAGATCTCTCTAGGCTCTCACTGATTCCTCTCTGGTCTCTCTCTGATTGTCTCTGGTCTCTCTCTGGGTTAGAGTTCATTAAGTTCTGACCTCCTCATTGTGATTTTGAAGGCACGTTCGCAGAGGAGTCTGAGAAGGTCATCTATGGACTGGTTTACCCCATCAAGACTTTTGAAATATTTTACATTCAGGTTTGTACTTGTGAAACTGAAAACATCATCTCTTTGTTAAATGTTTCTTTAGAATTAAAACCGACAGCTCTTGTGATTCTGTGCTGGACAGTGCAAGGACGTGCAGTCAGGGGAGGCAGAGCTTCACCTCCCATCATAGAAAAAATAATTATTCTATTGTACTATTTTTCTCCACTGTCTTATGCTTTGAATGTAGTTTTGCTGTGGTTCTGACCAGTTTTGATAAATTTTGTATTCAAAATTGGTGAAATCCTTTTTGTCCTGAGAGAACATGAGTGCCTCACCCCAGATTAGTCCTGGTGAGTCCTCCGAAGTCCTACTTAGGTACTTGTCATTCTTAGAAATGTTGTGTGATACGGAGCAGAGAGTCAGCAATTTGATTTTAAAAAAAATGTGTTATCAAAATATGCTTGTTCTGTCATCTTTATATTACGTTTTTGGATGTTATTGCATTGGAAAATTAGTGCAATTTTAATAGAATAACGATTGTAAGTCTGACTGTCAGTGCCTCACCAATCACAAACTTCACCGCACGTCTCTGGGACAGTGATAGCCTGGCCTTAGCCATCCGTACACTCCGCTCAATCATGTAACGTCTGGGTCTGGTCCCTGTGTTTGCGATTACAATCGGTTGAATTCCATCCGACGAATCAGCGAGCGTGGGAGGCGGGTGTTGTAGTAAGTTGTGGGTGACGACAAGAGTTTGCGCCAAACGGGCAGGTTGTAGTTTGGCAATGGCGAAGAATGTGATAGTAAAGTAATCCGGTCTGGTTCTATCAAGAAATTGAAGCCGCTGCAAGAAGAATATTTAGCAAATGTAATTGCTGGCAAAGATTGTGGCGCTACTCCCCACGGGCTAAATGCTAACGACTCACTCGGGCGCATCGCATATATAAACTCAGATCCAATCATTTCAATCCGCAAAAGGAGTTAACCCCACCCAACGGAGCTCAATGGAGCAAATGTAATTTGTACTATGGTGTGGTACGACCAGGCTAGGACAGCGAGGTTTGATTTGAGGATTATAGGTAAATAGTCTTTTCTGCAGTTCTGACTGTTTGAGAACAGAGCTTAGTCTGTTTCCTCATCATGAATGTGTGAAACTGCAGCCCATTCCCGCAGACACGGCCGCTTCCTGTCCACATGAATAATTTAGTTTGCTGCTGCTCGGTCATAGATCAGCTAAATGTAGCGTTTGATTGTGTGTTGACTTTAGCCTTGTTCTCTCTCCTCTTAGCTCCACTACTACTTGTACTTGTGGAAGAAGTCTACCTATTACACAACCATTACTCACAAGATCCTAACGTTCCTGAACGGCCCAAGCTGGAAACCTGGGAAACCTCGCCTGGGAGACCATGTGGACAACCCAAAGGTACGCCATGGAACTTTCGGGCTGAACATTATCTTTAAAATATCATAATTGAGTTAAAGGCGAGTGCGATGTCCAATCGTCGTGAGTTATTCAGATGTATGTTTTTGTCCTGCTATGTCATTGGCTGGAGCGAATGCACACACTCACTGAGGGATGAATTCAGGTTCTTAAGCATGGGACTTTTGCTTCTCCAAGATGTCTACCCCGGGTCTCCCAGATGTCTACCCCGGGCCTCCAGGATGTCTGCCCCGGGTCTCCAAGATGTCTGCTGATTCAGATCAATGACCTGTGCTCATTCAGTTGAGTTTCATTCTTTTTTTGAAAGGGACAGTACACAGTAACATTAAGCTCAAAGACAGATATGTTCTGGACCAGATCATAGCTACACAGCTACTTTCCATCCGCAGTCCCTGGTAAAGGCAAAAATAAATACATACATACAAAATAACAATACAATACAGTAACCATAAAATAACCTCACACTTTTTGTATATCTCACAGACAATACAGCCTATATTCCCTGTCACAATCATATGATATCACTAACCATATAATCAATACATACATTTTAGTCCACAGTAACATATTCGTACACATATTTACATAATACATACGTTGTTATAATTTACGTAATACATCATTTATAGTGTTGGGCGCACATATAGCCCACCTCAGTGTCTGTGTGAGCAGCTTTGTTCGCTCCAAAGCCGCTTTTTAAGTTCAACTGTGAAATTAACATTTCTGCCCGATTGAGTTTTTAGGTCTGTAGTGAGCTCGTTTCATTCCCTTATTGCTTTATATGAAAAGGCTGATTGTGAAAAAGAGGGTTTACATTTGGGTATGCTACACTGCTTGCCTGGTAGAGGCTTGTGTGGTTCTGGTTGTCCCAGCCGATCCAGATGTGAACTGGACTGGAGTGTTATTTAAGATCCTATGGGCCAAACGTAATACTAGTCAATACACAATACAAAACAATATATTCTTGTTTAGCCCTAAGTCACAACAGCAGTCATCTCAGAGACTTAAAGGAATAGTTCACCGTTTTTACATACTGACATATGTTCTTACCTTACCTTAGACTAGTTAATACGTACCTGTGTGATCTTAGTCCGTGCGCTCTGTCATGCAAACGGAGCAAAAACGGGAGCACAAACGCAGCCTCCTCTGTATACTGTATAGTACCCAAAAGGTAGCTCCCGCTAGAAGCTACCAAACTCTTCCAAGTGTTCCCTATTAAATGTATATAGTTACGTGACGTGTTACACTGCAAAGTATAGTAACACAGAAATGTAACTGTCGATTTTCTCAGCGGATAAAACGGGTACTATATTGTGAGGCGTAGTAATCTGAGGGGCGCTACGTCCGCGCACTAACTTCTCTCCGGAGACTTCTCTCTCGCTCACTTCCGTCAATAGAAGCAGCGTGACTTGTAATACACACAGTAGCAGCGAGAGAGAAGTCTCCGGAGAGAAGTTAGTGCGTGGACGTAGCGCTCCTAACTTCTCTGCGCACTAACTTCTCTCCGGAGACTTCTCTCTCGCTGCTACTGTGTGTATTACAAGTCACGCTGCTTCTATTGACGGAAGTGAGCGAGAAAGAAGTCTCCGGAGAGAAGTTAGTGCGCGGACGTAGCGCACCTCAGATTACTACGCCTCACAATATAGTACCCGTTTTATCCGCTGAGAAAATCGACTGTTACATTTCTGTGTTACTATACTTTGCAGTGTAACACGTCACGTAACTATATACATTTAATAGGGAACACTTGGAAGAGTTTGGTAGCTTCTAGCGGGAGCTACCTTTTGGGTACTATACAGTATACAGAGGAGGCTGCGTTTGTGCTCCCGTTTTTGCTCCGTTTGCATGACAGAGCGCACGGACTAAGACCAGACAGGTACGTATTAACTAGTCTAAGGTAAGGTAAGAACATTTGTCAGTATGTAAAAACGGTGAACTATTCCTTTAACGAAACCATTGAAATCACCAACACAGATCAGAGAATCAACAGTTAAAACACAAAAAATACACGTATGTATTGGTACATAGGGAGAGACCAATGTCCATGAATGTTTATAAATGTCTATACTTGTTCTGTGTCCTAGATCATCACCACAATTTTGAAAACATGCAAAGCTTTGAATGTTTTCAAAATTCAACAGTTTATTTTGACACCAATGATGGTATTGCCATGGTTTTCTGTCAAGTATTTTGAGTTATTGTTTGTGCAGGGTTTCCAACAGCCTCAGGGTGTTTTTATTTGCCTCATGCTCGCACCATGGGCATACCAAACATTTGCAGAAGTGACCCATTCTGGCCAGCTCTGGTTCTCCCGGTCTTGTGCAGTAGGTGCACAGTGGTTCTAATACAAAAGTGTTGATATAGTTCAGGAGACAAGGGACACTAAAATGTGTGCCCCAGGGCAGCTGTGGCTACAGTAGTAGTTTATCACCACCATGTATGGAGTGAATGAATAATGACATGGATCCCTCTGTTTGTGACAGCTTTAGGTTCCCTGTCAGCTGAGGACGAGCCCCCCCATTATCTCCTTCCAGGCCATGTGGATTTAGGTTGCAGTACCTCTGGTGGCCTCTAGTATATATGTGAAGATGGGTTTAAACCAAGCCCCGGGGATCCAAGATGGCGCCCTATTCAAATCATTGCACTGTGCTCAGTGGCGCATGGACCATGGGCACCGAGAGATTAGCGGAACTCGCCCATATTTGGGCTTTGTCTGGTCCTCCCGGTTCTACGCAGTGAACGGCTCCCATGAAACGTTGCGCCAAATACTGTATGTGTGTTTAGCTGCTGATCAGAGCGGAGCTAGAGCGGCGTCAGAGCGGGACACGATCAAGCAGACTTTGTGGCAGGATTTAAGGAGATAAAAAGTTCAGGATTAGGAACACTAAAATACCCACACAAGCCAACCGTTATGAAAGCTGTAGATTCTCTGTCACCTGAGGTCAAGCTGTTTTAATTTACATTGACTTTTATGGGGAATTTTCTAGACAGCCCATGTAAATTTAGTCTTGGTTAGTCTGCAGTACCGAGAGAATCCCCCGAGCACCTGGGTCCTTCAGCTTTAAGCTAGTAATTCCCTATCCATATTAAAATACATGCATGGTTTCAACATCCTCCATATACTATCACACATCCCAGAGAAAACAAAGATAAAGATTGTCCAACGTGCAAAATAACTTTAAAAGTAACTACAACAAAACTTAGATATTTTTGTTGCTGAATTGGTGTGGTGAAACTGTAACAGTAGATGTAGTCTTGCCCAAAATAGATTCTAACTGTACAGCCAACAAAGGCAGCGCCTCTCGTGCTGCTGCTGAGCTGACCTCGTGGTTTGGGCGTGTCCTGTTCTCATACATTATTCTAAGTGATCAAACCCAAAGGCCAAAGCAAAGGTATCAGTATTAAATACATTGATAAATCATGATGTCTGTTTCTAAAGGTTTGTAAAGGCTCAGCTTTAAACCTACATCTGAATAGTTGAGTCTTTCTTATTGTTCTCAATGTTCCGTTTCTCCCAGAGCAGTTTTACAAGTGTTTGCCACATCAAACGTCTGGGACACAATAAGTTCATTAAACGCAGTCTGGATGGAAACCGCATGGAGCCGTGCCTGAGCCTCTTTGAAATCTCGCCCATGCTGTCATGGGCTGGGTCCCCTCGTGCCGCAGACCCTTGCCAGTAAAGTGGCTCCTAAAACCCAGTGGGACCAATCTACAATGAGTCCGAGCCACATCTGTGCAAAGGACAGCTGCAGCCAGGGGAGAGTGGGGGAGACGTGTGAGCTAAAGCAGAGATGTGTGGAGTAATACCTGCCCCGGGACAACTATGTGGTCGTCTGCTGGAAACCCCCTCAGCTGCCCCTGAGGCAGGCCCCAGCTCAGCTCACCCTATGCTGCGTTCCAACTGTGTCTCAGAAGACTATGTCTCTCAGCTGGTCTCTGTTCACCCTCAGGGTGCTTAAAGCAGTTTTTTTTTTTCAACCATATTTGTTTTTAATATGCAGCGGCACACTAGTATGATATTATCTGGTGTGCCAACGTCTCCCTCGTTTCTTCCTCTGTTTGTGCACAACCAAAACTCCCAAATTTAAAGCTCGGATATCTACATTTTCCCCATTCATTAACAATGCATGTTATTTGTGCACAAAAGTAAAATGTTGTGAGGAAATCAGACAGAACGCACAACAGGCCATTATTATGCCCAAGCCCCGGCTGGGGTAAGGCCTATTGCTTTCACAGTGGTGAATGCAAGGGGTCACGGTGCGTGACGGACGCGTCAGCGCCCGTAACGCACCAAAACGTGACAGTTGCGTGCGTAAACTCAAACGCTTTAAAATGATGTATCAGGTGCCATTGATACCTATATTGTTTTTGCTCGGAGACTTGCGAAAAAATATTCTGCACTTTGAACCTTAATTTGACCCCCTGAACATGCATAAAAACTTGCCAATTTTGACCCAGCATTCAGAACTGATGAAAAATTTACTTTTTTGGTGTTTATTTTTATGGGACAAAAAAAATGCCAGAACAGCGCACCCTACAAAAGTCAGTTTACATTGCGCCTATGGGAGAGGGTCCGAGGTCAAGTTTGTCGTAGAGCCACGAAATTCGGTACACATGTTCCTCAACTGAAGACATGAAAAAAAAAGTTATTATGGCCACGCCCCCTGACAAACAGGAAGCCCATAAATTTCCTTGGAAAATGGAAAAAATATCCTTTTCACACATGTACCATCATTTCGATTTAAAAGAATTTTGATCAGTTAAACATTGTTTGAGCAGCGGAGCGGCAAAATGTGGGTTTTTCCCCCCATTTTTCACAATAGAAAATTGGCTCCCATTTGCACATACAATGTCCGTTTTGCACAAACTTTTAATTCATTGTTTCGCTCCAGGGTCTAGGTAATTTGAAAGCTATAGTAATTGAAGTTGACCCATTAGCGTCCCCTTCAGACTATGTCAAAGTTTTACATGGGGCTAATCACATTTAGTTTTTTCAAAATGTTTGAAATCTTGCACATACTGTAATTCAGTTTTGCCCTCTTGATTCAAAAAGTCAATTACATCCAGATTTATTTTTTACCCTGTTTCCGTGGTGACGACAAACGCTCCCCATTCTGTTTTAATGGCAAATGTAGAGCTCTTACAAACATCAAACCAGCCTCAGCCGTTTTACCGATTTGGCTGAAAATCGATCCACATTATCCCAACAAACCTACCATCAATAGTTGTTCGTAGATTTTTGATTAGTCACATGTTCATCCAATGTAGAATGTATATGTATGGACACAATCACAGATTGTACATGTGCTCCTGTTTACACATACAAAGTCTGATTTGTTTTAAACTTGACTCGGTTGTTCCACTCCTGAAGGTGTGAAATATTACATTGGCTCTTTAGAACCCCCTAATGAACCCCCAAAATGAAACATGATCCTTTTCACACAGGTCAGTTGGAAAGCGAATCCTCCTCGGTGGTTCACCGTTTCGCCTCAAAATTTTTCCACATCGTCTCAACACATGTACCATCATTTTGATTACTAGAATTTTGATCAGTTTATTGTTGTTCGAGCAGCGGAGCGGTAAACGTGATTACGGTTTGGGCCTGTGCCTCTGGTTGATGTGGAGTTCAGACTCTTTCTGTCGAGACAAACATAATATATATTGCGGTGTCACATGACACAGTTGAGAAATGGAGACTGCTGCTCACCAAACACAGGCTGTGATGGAGGAGCAGCAGCAAAGGGAGAAGATGATGATGATGAGGATTGCACTGTGCACTCCCCACTGATCTTGGTTACAGTCATATTCATATCAGGTATGTTTTTGTGAGCACAGGTAACAGGGTCTGAGAGGCCACATGACTCGCGCTGGGCCCTTCCTCTGCAGCTGTACGTGGTGCTGCACTTCCTGCTGTTGCTGGTGACCTACCACAACCTCTTCGACAGCAAGACGGTACGAACTGGGAGTAGTCAGGTTTACTAGTGTGGGAGGTCAAGTGCTAACATGACACTGCTCTTTTAACATTTACATGGTTAGTCAAGAGTTTTTATTTTTACCATACCAGTCATAGTTCAACATCTTCACAGATGCAGATAGACATTGTAGGCAGGAGACCCAGGATGAATAATTAATTAGTACTTTTCTGCCCCTCTCCTGTCTCTGTTCCGCCCCTCTCCTCTTTCCTTTCCCTCTCCTCTCTTCTGTCTCTTTCCAATCAACTGTCTCTCTCCTGCCTCACTCCTTTTTCCTCTTTTGTCTCTCTTTCTCCTCTTACTTGTCTCTCTCCTGCCTCTCTCTTCTAGACCCGGTTGGTGGTCTGCGTTGAAAACGCCTTCAGGATGCAGTAATCAGAACTTAGAATGAGAATAACAAATTGAATTGGTTTCTCAGTGTTATATCACGTCCTGTATTTATACACACTGAGCTGCTGATTCAGTCTGACAAGTCCACACACACAGGGGCAGTTTATGGGCTTACTGCTAATTCCAAACCAGGGCTAATTCAAAGAGCTCACAATGACAGCATCAGACAAATGTATTATAGGTTAGCAAAAGTGTACAGAAAAGTGAAGAGTGAAAGTGGCAGAGCAGCAACTGAGGCGGCGGGTGGGTCATAACAGGCAGTGGTTTCAAACAGTGTGGTTGGGGTATAGTTTCCCAAACACAGGTGAAAGAACTATGAGCATGGGGACCTTCTTTAAACAGAAACAAGTACTGGAATAGGATTCGCCTTTTTTGCAGTGCTTCCCCGGCCATTCTGAAGACACACACGGTTCAATTGAATCAAACCAGTTTTAACTTTGGAAAAAGTCATTGTTGAGAATGTGTGTGTATGTACAGTTGTACGGTTCCTATGCCATTCTATGTAGACAGCTCCTTCATATGTCAAAATTTGCTTTATGATTTAAAATAAACAGAGATATTTCATAACAAACAGATCTCTGCCCTGACCTGTCACATACAAAACATTTTCCACCGCAGCAGTGAAGTTAATGGCCTGTTCCCTGGAGACGTTACGAAAACAGGGTTGGGCTCAGAGTGATTAGCAGACAGCAGCCCCATCAGAGCTGACCCCAGGGTCTTAATCCAGGACTAAAACACAACCTGACACATCATGTGACTCAAGCTGTGGGTTCAAGGAATCCTCAGGTCCTGGTTAAACGCTATATGCTATAAATATTATCAGAATCAGAATCATTTTTTTTGCCATGTAAGTAAAAGGAAATTGCTTTGGCTCGATTCAGCAGACAAAGAAGAGAGGTAAAGCATATAGTAAAGCATAATAAAAGGTGTAAAAATGAAAATAAAATGATCACAATTACTCCCCCCTAGACTGCCACCTTAACGTAGTGGGGGAGTTCTCCCATGGCAGACAGGTCTCGGGTGACGAGTGCACAGTCCGAAGCCAACCATGGAAAGCACGATTAAAACAGTGACGTCGCCCGGCATGGCGCAGCCTGGGCCCCACCCTTGGAGAGATGCTGACCTCGACTGGGGATATTGTCGGGCGGTGGAAGGAATACTTTGAGGTTCTCCTCAATCCCCCCGTCACGTCCTCCAGAAGGCAGAGGCTGAGGATGTTGGGGTGGATACTTCCATCTCCCTGGCAGAGGTCACCAAGGTGGTTGGCAGCCTCCATGGTGGCAAGGCGCCGGGAGTGGATGAGATCCGTCCTGATTATCTAAAGTCTCTGGATGTTGTAGGACTGTCTTGGCTGACACGTCTCTGCAACATCGCGTGGCGATCGGGGGCAGTGCCAATGGAGTGGCAGACCGGGGTGGTGGTCCCTCTCTACAAGAAGGGGGACCGGAGGGTGTGTTCCAATTATCGTGGAATCACACTCCTCAGCCTCCCCGGTAAGGTCTACTCCAAGGTACTGGAGAGGAGACTACGTCCGATGGTCGAATCTCGGATTCAGGAGGAGCAGTGTGGTTTTCGTCCCGGACGCGGAACACTGGACCAGCTCTATACTCTCCATCGGATACTCGAGGGTTCATGGGAGTTCGCCCAACCTGTCCCCATGTGCTTTGTGGATTTGGAGAAGGCGTTCGACTGTGTTCCCCGGAGTGTCCTTAGGGGGGTTCTCCGGGAGTACGGAGTCCTCTGCTGAGGGCTGTCCAGCCTGGCTTCGAGCTCGAGCTTGTCGTCTCACAGGAAGTACGTCTCACAGGAGGAGTAGGGTTGTGAGAGAGTGAGCGTTGGGTCACAATTGTTTATTTTTATAACTTGTTTATTCGGCTCAATGTCTCATGTGTCTGCGCCAACGTGTCCATTCAACCTGCAACCATGATGATTGTCTTTAACTATGGTGATTGTCTGCAACTATGGTAACTAACCGTGGTGATTTTCTCGATCTTGATGAGGAGAGTTCCAGATCCTTACATTATCTGAGCAGTTTTAAAGTGAATTGAGCGGACAGGAGTCTCGTTATAAGGCTGAGGGTTCTATTCCCATGTAACTACTCTCGCTCTGAGGCTGAAGGTTCTACTCCAGTGCAACTGCTCTGGCTCTGAGTGAAGGCCAGTCTGCTTTGTGCACAGATGCTGTCACAGATCACCATCTTCAGCATGACCTGCTACATCCTGCTCACACTTACCTCACTGGGGTTCATTATTGACCAAAGGTACTGCTGCTACTATTACTATTGCTGCTACTACTGTTGCTACTAATGCTGCTACTGCTGCGACTATTGCTACTGCTACTACTACTTCTGCTGCTGCTACTGCTGCAACTATCACTACTGCTACTGCTGCTTCTGCTGCTGCTACTGCTGCAACTATCACTACTGCTACTGCTGCTTCTGCTGCTGCTACTGCTGCAACTATCACTACTGCTACTGCTGCTTCTGCTGCTGCTACTGCTGCTGCTACTGCAGCAACTATTACTACTGCTACTGCTGCTACTGCTGCTTCTGCTGCTGCTACTGCTGCCCCTAATATGCATGTCTCTTGTGTGTTTTCAATAACTCAAACTCAGTTCCTAGGTGGATTCCTGCAGAGACAGATTCTCTGACATGTTCTGACGCCGTTTTGTGTTTGGTTGTAGAGCATCGGCCGCGCTCCTGGAGATGCTGCGTTGCATCGTCATGGTAACGATGCTGAGATACAACGTGCTGACAGTGCCTCTGCTGCCCCTTCTGCCCTGGGCCACTCAGGTGAGCGGCTTTTCATAATAATTATAGTAAAACAACGTTTTGGAGCATTCCAAAAGATGCTTCACATTCATTCGACCAACTTCAGCCAAACCTAGATGTAGTTCTGAGGAAGAGGTGGGTTTTTGCCGTTTGTTCATTGAGGTTTTGGCCCCCAAATTCCACGACCTACCGGATGACCCCCTGTGCCGCAACTGCTCAACTCATGGGGTCCACACACACACAGGGGCTGTCTGCACACAGGAATCATAATTAATTGTTCCAGTTCAGATAGTAGTTGTCGGTCACAATAACTTATGTTGATGGACATTATATTGCTGCAGAAATAACCCTTGTAAAGCAATGTTTCCATTTGCCTACCTCATTAAAAAACATGTACTTAGAACATAAACAGGAGAATGAAGTCACATCTAAAATGTCGCTGTTTTACATGTTTTAATCAAATGTGGACAATAAGTATTGATGCACAGAAAATATTCTTGAATCCATCCTTTATTGAAGGATGAGTTAATAAAGTAATGATTGTGACAAATCTTTTCACTTTCCCTGCTTCACCCTGAGTCGTCACCTCTGAGTCTTCTCCTCTGTCTTCCTCCTCCTCCTCTTCATCTTCATCAGTGTTTTCATACTGACTGGGTCCTATGTGCTGACCCTGGTGTGGTCTGCAGAGTGTCAGCTCTTGTGGCTGATGCTAATATCGACCTCCTCCAGATGCGTGGCTCAATTGACCATAAAATTGGCGTTCCTCTTGCTCTGTTGCAACCCCCCCCCCCCTCAGCCCCACTCGGATCTGGAAGCCATTACCTCCGTCTGCTGCTAACTCGCAGCGGCTGGAGGAGCTTGCAGGAGATCAGGCCCAGGTCCCACAGCTGTGCCACTCAGGTGTTCAGCTGCTTAAACTGAGCTGAGTGAATTATCATTTCAAAGTGTGAAATCCAGTACAAATGGATAATGAGCAGATGTGGAGGAGGAGCTGAACATGTGGTTGTGTTGTGACAGATAAACCTGTTTATTCAATACAGATCAGTAACAAGTCATAATAATGCAATGGTTTTATACAGACCTTTCTGGATGCTCAAAGTCTCTTCACATGTAAACTTTGTGCACATAAACACTTTTTTTTTTTTTTTTTTTAAAGCTTTATTTGATTTTGCAAGGTAACATACATTCAACAAACAAACAAACAAGAATATGTGTAGATATATATTTTAAGGGACACAGCAGATTGTGTGTGTGTGTGCGTGTGTGCGGGACATGTGCGTGTGTGTGCGGGACATCACATTGTGCAACATTATTATTAATATGTGGACTAAAAACAAAACAAAACAGACAGATAATAAGCATAGTACTGGATGAATAATGGCATTTTTCACCTATAGGTAGATAAGACATGGGATGAATTGCAGTAAAGGAATAGTACCATAGTAAATGCATAGTGAGACAAGTAAGAATAATAATAATAAGGATAAATAAATTATATCAAATATACAAAAAAAAAGGCTATGGATGAAGTGTTTAACCTTTGTGTCGTGTTCGTTTCACCCCCCTTACTTTGGTGTTCCCGGTCAAATTTGACCGGACGGTTTTAACTGCTCTTACATTTACACAAAATAACTGATCATAACTAAAAAATGTTTTACTCTCTTTAAAGCTGTAAACAATACCTCAAACTACTGGTTTACATGAATAACTGCAGTGAATATACAACAAATACACATAGAAATTGTAAATTATATTCGAAATGTAACATTTATTGTAGAGAACGAAGCAAAAATCAAAACTGAGTACAAATTCACAGATCAGAACATCAACATGAACATATAATCTCTGTGTGTGTGTGTCTTCACACACAGGAGTGGCATTTTGCCATCAGGTCGGAGTGTGCCTTGCAAACGTAGGCATCACATTTGAAACAAGTAAGACTTGTTTTATTGTCTCTAGGGGCACAGAGCTTGCATCTCTTTCGTTTCTGCCCCTGATTTGGGGAGAGGAAGGCCAGGGCAGCGGCTAGGGCTTGCCTGCCCCATATTCCAGGCATAGCTGCTCCTGGCATCACATGCTGCCCAGATGTTGATCCCATACTTGCCTGGTTTGCTTGGGATGTATTGTTTGAATGGACAGCGACCTCTGAAAGGCACCAGGCGCTCGTCCACTGTCACTTCAGGGCCTGGGTTGTACATCAGTGGTAGACGCTCCACCCACCTGTCCCAAACGTTCCTGATGGCAGCCAGATTGTCATCTCGCCAGCGGAAAGGTCTTGTGGTTCTGTCATCAAATCTGATAACACGTGATATAACATGGAACTGTCGGAGGGACATAGTTGACCGGAATATAGGCCTCCCTGACTCTGCATCCCACAGACATTTTGTCGCTTCATTGTTGGACCGGTGAACTCCTGCTAAAATCAACAGACCTATGTAGGCTTGGAGGTCTATCTGATCCAATAATTTCCATGTGCCTGCAAACACATGCCTCCCCTCCAGGTTTGTCATCTCCAGTATTATTTCCACATTGGACTCTGATAAGAAGAGTTGGAAGCTGGACTTGATGTCATCCGCATGAGATGTCGCATACGTTGTTGGCCCTGACGTCATCCTAACAATATTTTCCACTCTTGCTCTGCCTCCTCTGTCCTGGGTGGATGAATACCAGAGCAAGTTGCCATCCTTGGACTGGAATGTAGCCTCAGGTGTGTCTTCCCCAGTGGCCTCTTCCTCATTATCTGTTGACTTGTCGTTTTCATTATAGTCCGGATCAAAATCAGGATTGTCTTCTATTTCTGAGACATCCTCCTCTATTTCTTGTTCGATTTGAATCCCCTCTTCATCGGTTTCAAAAAAAGAGGTCAAGAGCCTCTCTGGCAGAAAACCGGCACCTCGTCATTGTGCTCAGAGTCAAATGAGAGCAATGCACAAATAAAGCTATATATAGGGGGTCAGTGAGAAGATATCTTTCTATTATGATACATTTTGTATCGAAAGGTGTGGTTCACGTGGGGGAACTGAACACCTGTTCAGTCTGAAAGGGGTTCACGTGGAGGGAGAGGCACATACGGGCGGGAAAGAGATGAGGAGAGGAGACACCTGTTCAGTCTGAAAGGGGTTCCCGGTGTGTGTGTGTGTGTGTGTGTGTGTGTTGAAAACTATGGTGAATACTATGGTGAATGAAAGGATCTAGAGTCACCCATTCATTTCCTATGGCGGTCATTTTTGACGGTGAACACCACAGGTGTTACAAAGTTGATTTACCCACTCAAAATTCAACGAAAGTGGTGATCATCAATTGTACATGTTCAAATGTCTAGTGTGGAGGATATCATAAGGCCTTGAAACAATAAAATATAAAACAAAAAATGTATGATTGTTGAAAGTAGGAAATCGGTCAGATTTGACCCGAACACGACAGAAAGGTTAAACTATAAGGCTTGTTGGAGGCAGTAATAGTGGCAGCAGAGAAGAGGAGAGCAAAAAGGTCTATACAGATATATACCCATATATACATATATATCTGTACCTACAAATACACACATGCACCTAAATAAACACATTTATTTAAAACTTCCTTCAAAACATTGTACTTTAATACTCATTGACTGCCGTTACAGTTAATACTTTAACTGTAAATCTGTTGACTAACTTAAATGTAACAGTGAGTGTTTCATAGTGCAAATAAAGTGTTTACAATATTGTAAATGGCATTTCAAGATATTTATATGAATATGTGAGTGTTAGCTCTGAGTGCAGTAGGTAGCTTTAACACAGCACCTCAGTTTAACCATCTTTCTTACTTCAGTGTGGTAAGGTCCATGGTTATGTCATTGTCACAGGGAAAGCATGAAACTGACCAAGAATAATTCTGTTGAAACAAAACAACTTCCATAACGTGATCCATTCTTAACGACTTGCAGCACAGTGTCTGTGTAAAATATAGTGAAATGTCCAAAAATCATCACCTCCATTTGCGGCTTTGTCACAACACCTGCCGTTACCATCGGTACCAGGCTGACAGCGCGGGACCAGTCCACACTGTCCAACGCACCAGCAGCAGCACCAGCACCAGCACTGATAGTGTCCTCAGCTGTTGTGGTATCCATTTACCAAATGTCTCCATCCTTGTGCATAAATTTACCAAGGTTATACGGATTTGCTGACACATATAATGTATGTAATGTCCATAGAAGTAAGAGTATATGGTAGGAAACTTTTGCTTTTGAACCCCTTTTATGCACATGTACATACAAATGAATGAAACGATCACAGATTTATCAAAAACAAAAGTAAAGTGCAAAACCAACAATCTACAAAGTCCAAAGTACGTATGTCTCTTGAGACAAGGTCCAGATGAGGGGAAAGTGAAGTACTCAGGTCACTCATTACTTCTTGGTAATCTCAAGTGCGGGAAGAAATTCTCAAAAAAATATACACACAACAACTTAAGTACAAGCACAAAACAGAATGGCAACACATGAAAGAGCAAAATGCAGCACAGTAGCGCAGGAAGGATGTTTTAGCTTATTAGCTTGCTATCAATAGCTAAATGTAGCTAGCTCACTGCGTACAACAGACAATCAAACATTTACACAAGTAAATACGAGATACATAGCTAACCAGTTATTTCCAGGATTACCACAGACTAGTCACAAATCAAGAGCTGGAAAATGTGAAAAAACGCATCTGCGCATGCGTCAGCCGGCACGAGCTCCATTCTTTTAAAAGAGTGACTTCAAAAATTCACAGCGAGTAAACTAGAGTGGTCCAAAAAAATGCACTCCCCTCAGCATTGACACGCATCGGCCCGGGGTGGTATTGCAGAATGTCAGCGCACGTCAATTTGGCCACTTTTGAGCATTTATTTTTTAAATGATCATTATCATTTTACATAAATGAGCCGTGGGCTGTATCAAATCTCTTGGCCCGGGCCGCATAATTGACACCAATGGTCTAAACTGTTTAGAAGAGTGCTTATGAACACTTCTCGGTGCTTTGTCTCAGAGGAACTCGTTAGAAATCCTCAGCACCAAATGGACGGGTTTCTCAGTGCTCCTTCATGTGCCTTTATAGGGTTAAACTGGAGGAGGAGGTTTAAGTGCAATGTTAAACAGATACACATAAAAAATCTGAACAACTCTATTATAAAATACTGTATATCAAACATGGGACTGATGATTGAGACAAGAAATCCGCCTTTTGTTTACTCAACATCAGAGACCAGCAGGTTCCACTTCTCTTTGCAAAAAAGAGATAACAGTTGTATAGTTAGCGTACTGTGGTTTTCTGTGGTTAGTTTTCTGTGGTTAGCCATTTGACTCAAACACAACGGTGTCTGCTGCTCACTAACTCCTTGACAACTCTGACTTCAACATAACACTGGTGCCTCCTTATCACACAATTATTAGTCTCTTTTCATACGGCCCCATATCAGACCCAGTCTCTGCCCTGTCCAGACCCAGCCCAGTCCCAGTCCATGTCAGGATGCAGGGGCCCCTTCAAATACCTCTCACTCTCCCTCAGACTCAGGCTGACGTATCCAGCTCTTTGAAGCCAGACATTTCCATCTTTTTGTTTCAGGAGGCGGGTTTGAAGTCGTGCCAATCAATTAGGAATCGCTTCAAAACGCAGAGGGGAAATTTGTTTTTAATTGTGGGTTTGCGCTTGTGAGTGCACGTTTGAGGAGAAGTACAAAAAGCAGGTGGTTAGTGGTTCCCAGCCTTGTGTGATATACGGTGGCTTTAAAGCTTTTATGGTGGTTCTGTGGAGTTCCCTTGTAATGCTGCAGAGCTGATCCGTAAAGCAGGCTCACTCACAGGACTCCGCTGGTTCACTGAAGGCAGCGGCACATGTGTACGAAGGGAGAGAAGTGTCTGTTTGGGCAGAATGTCACTTTCAGCTCTTTCTCTGTGTTTCAGCTCTATCTCTGTGCTGTCAGATTCACCGCAGGAAAAGAGACCTGAGTTAATTTTAGGCAGTTTTTATTGGCACACAGAGGCTGATGAAAGAGTTATGATTCGAGGTGTGGTTCATAAATGACAACAATATTCTTGCATGAATAGAGAAGGCTAAGTGTTTAGTTACTGTTAAGCCCAGAGAATTGTGTTTAAAGCAATACGCAGTGTCCTTCCAAACAGGCGTGGCCAAAGCACACACCTGACTCTCTCTGGAAAAATCTTAATTACTTTCTCAAGTTACCAGGCTCCTCCAGGGAAGAGGACAGGGTTCTAGCTTATCTCAGCCAGGGGAGAAGGATCTGGCTGATGTGTTGGAGTTTATTCATTTAAAGTGACAGGGACAGTGTACAAACATTAACCTTAAAGGGATATGCACCAGTGTATTATACATAGATCTATGTAAAACCCATAACTATTGTTCTTTATTTTCATTTACCCTTTCTGTAAGGCTTTGTCTTTTTTTCTTTTTTTTTTTTTTTTCTTCTTTTTCTATTTGTTTATTATTGTGTACATAAGACTATGTAAACACTGCGGCTTCTGTGGATGTTCATAACGGAGGAAGTTCGCCATATTATGTGTCTGTAAATAATGAAATGTTATTGATGCCTGGAGAATGGGGTGGCGGGGGGGGGGGGTTAGCGGGGCTGGGTGTGTGTCTGTGTATTTATGTTGGGATGGGTGGACCCATGGGAGGGAGGGGACAAAAAAAAAAAATAGTAAAATGTTTGCGCATTTGTTTTCTGTTCCGTGACCATTGTCATCTCTGTATGCAGCGCAACACAATAAATACTTGATCAAAAAACAAAAAAAAGGGATATGCATTGTACCAGGTTATAGCTCAAGAGCTAATTTCCAACTGTAGTCCCCGGGCAGGCTGATGTTTTGATATAACATTAATATAGCAATTATGCATACATGGCTGTACAGTTTACATTGGCCAAAATGCATAAAAGATCTTCAAGTCTCACACATACACAAGCACAAGCATGCTACACATGAGTTCAAGTTTGATTTAATGAAAACCATTTCTTTAAATGTCGTGAGAACATAAAAGAGTTTAGGGTTAGGATTAGCTTGCTCTCAGCTCTGTGGGCAACATACTCCACTGACAAATGATCACACAGGAAAAAGCAGAATTTCGGAAAGCTGTCCTGCGTTTGTCAATCCTACACTCGGCGCGCTCTGTGGATCCAGTGCAGGGCCGGCCATAGGTCATCAGGCGCCCCAGGCTAAAATATATTATGGCGCCCCTTGCACACTTGGAGAGGGCATTACAGTGTGCAGTGAAAGTAGTAGCAAACCTTAGTAGCATGATCCGGTCTGAACACACCATTAGTCAGCCACCAACTGTGCAAGTTCTCCCAAAAAAGATGAGGGAGGTCTGTAATTTTAGGTAGTAAGGTATAGTATGAGAGACAGAATGAGAAAAAAAAAAAAATCCAGAAAATCACATCTGATTTTAAAACATTTCTTTGCAAACAAGCAAGATTTCTGACTCTCACAGAGCTATAACTCCTTCTTTAAGAGGTTGCAATGCTCTCCTGTTTGAACTCGTTATTAGTAGGAAAGACACATGTCCACAACCTCAAACCGTCACACTCCAAACTCCACCATGGCCAAGACCTGTCAAAGGACACCAAAAACAAAATTGTAGACCTGCACCAGGCTGGGAAGACTGAATCTGCAATAGGTAAGAAGCTTGGTGTAAAGAAATCAACTTTAGGAGCAAATAGTAAGAAAATGGAAGACGTACAAGACAACTGATAGTCTTCCTAAATCTCACCCTGTGGAGTCAAAATGGTCACAAGAACTGTGAGAAAAAATCCCAGAACCACACAGGGGGACCTAGTGAATGACCTACAGAGAGCTGGGACCAAAGTAACAAAGGCTCCCATTAGTAAAGCCTAGTGTATAGGCGCGGAGCTTAGGTGGTGACTTAACGTCACTTGTGCAACTCAAGGATCACCGCAAAACCCTTGTGTAGGACTGCAGCGCACCCTTGAAAATGTCTAACATCGTAGCCGCGGCCGCAGAGAAGCTCCACTGTGATTGGTCCGTGTGTGAGATCTTTCTGGGAACCATGGGGCAGCTGCAGGGAACATATAAAAGGCACTTCGGAGCAGACTGCTTCGTGCTTCAAAGGAACCGAAGGAAAAGCAGTTTGGGCTCATGGCAAACATAACCAGCGCCGCGTGAGTGTACACAAGATTTAACACACTGTGCCACCTACACCATACTTACTGTGAAGCATGGGGGTGGAAATATCATGCATTGAGGCTGTTTTTCTGTAAAGGGACCAAGACAACTGATCCATGTAAAGGAAAGAATGAGGGGAGCCATGTATCATGAGATTTTGAATGAAAGCTCCTTCTATCAGCAAGGGCATTTAAGATGAAACGTGGCTGGGTTTTTCAGCATGACAATAATCCCAAACACAACACCCAACGAAAGAGTGGCATTGTAAGAAGCATTTTAAGGTCCTGGAGTGGCCTAGCCAGTCTCCAGATCTCAACCCCATAGAAAATCTTTGGAGGGAGTTGACAAAGTTCAAGCAAAACAAAAACGCCATCACCTCCACAGCAGAATTAATAATCCAACAGCCAGTGAGGTTTTTTGAGCTGACGCACTTTGCACCTGTACATAATGAAACTGTCCAAGAGACAATCACAAGTCTGGGTTCCTCCACATGTAGCCTGGATGTAATACCACTAGATGTCTCAAGTCTGTTACCTTCACTTACGCAAATAGTAAACTTGTCAATTTTATTTGGAACATTCCCAATGGCCCTGAAAACGGCAGTCATCAGGCCCCTGCTAAAAAAGGATGGTACTTAAAAATTACAGGCCCATCTGCCTTTCATTGGAAAAAATCTTGAAAAAGTTGGCCATCAACAACTCACTGAATTTGTATTAATCAATCACTTTTGATGTGTTCCAGTCTGGCTTTAGACCCCACCACAGCACTGAGACCGTTCTAGTGAAGGAAACAAATTGCATCAAACTTAAAGCAAACTTGTGTACAAGTCTCTTGCACCGGAGTACGTGGCATGTTGGTGTCGTATGAACTACCTAAGCTTTGAAGAGCACAGGGACGGCCCTCCTGCTGGTTTCCAGAGTTAGAACTAAACATGGGGAAGCTGCATTTCAGATTCATGCTGCTAAAATCTGATACAGTCTTCCTGAGAATGTGAGACAGGCGTCTTATGAGTTTTTCCTTGCTGATGCAGGAGTGTTGAAGTTTTTTAATGAGTACTTTTTGAAATACGTGTGCCATAAAACGTATTATTTTGCATAAAAAACACTTTCTCATGAGCTGTTTTAGCTTTTTGTAAACTTGTATGACGAAACACTAAATAGTATTAAAATCACTTTTCTGCTGATTGAGGATTTCTGTCAAACTTCCCTCTTTTCGACTGGGGGATTACATGAGATTGAAAAAAGCTAGAAACAAACTTATTTTTGCTGGTGAAAGTAGACGGTCCAGTCTTTCGGAACCTGGTATCATATTTCACGTAGTCATAGTACATAATGCGTGCGTGCTCTGCCTTGTTGTGGGCTCTTTGCCTGGACACGTTCATGCTAATGTCCTGGAAAGATCCTGAAAACCTATTCCTGCTGGAGAATTCTTGAGTCTGAAATTGTGGAAAATTCTTACATCATCTTAGAAAAGAGCAATGGAAACCTGCTGTGTGGGAATGTGTGAGTCATAAATGTGTTAAGAAATGTAAAACCTTTTAATTTACCTGTTTCCAGAATCACCAAATCTCTGGTAATAAATTAGCAGAGCGAAGAATATGCAAATGAAGGCTCTGTCTCCACAGCGTCAATGTCAACACTCCACCTTCACTTTATTTAGACTCTGCTTTCTGCACATTCAAACATCAGACACTCAGGATTTGGACCGGGCTCAAGTTTAGTATCTCAAGGGAAAAGAAAAATGTCCAATTTCTGCCAGAATTCTACATTTTCTGTCCTGCATTGGAGTTAAAGCTGTCATTTTAATTCACACTCAGAATATATGTTTTATACCTGCTCCTCCTCCTGCTCCACTCCTCCTGCTCCACTCCTCCTGCTCCACTCCTCCTGCTCCACTCCTCCTGCTCCACTCCCCCTGCTCCACTCCTCCTGCTCCACTCCCCTGCTCCACTCCTCCTGCTCCTCTCCTCCTGCTCCACTCCCCTGCTCCACTCCTCCTGCTCCACTCCTCCTGCTCCACTCCCCTGCTCCACTCCTCCTGCTCCACTCCCCTGCTCCTCCTCCTGCTCCACTCCTCCTGCTCCACTCCTCCTGCTCCACTCCTCCTGCTCCTCCCTCCTGCTCCACTCCCCTGCTCCTCTCCTCCTGCTCCACTCCTCCTGCTCCACTCCTCCTGCTCCACTCCTCCTGCTCCACTCCTCCTGCTCCACTCCCCTGCTCCACTCCTCCTGCTCCACTCCTCCTGCTCCACTCCCCCTGCTCCACTCCTCCTGCTCCACTCCTCCTGCTCCACTCCTCCTGCTCCACTCCCCTGCTCCACTCCTCCTGCTCCACTCCTCCTGCTCCACTCCTCCTGCTCCACTCCTCCTGCTCCACTCCCCCTGCTCCACTCCCCTGCTCCACTCCTCCTGCTCCACTCCTCCTGCTCCTCTCCTCCTGCTCCACTCCTCCTGCTCCACTCCTCCTGCTCCACTCCTCCTGCTCCACTCCCCTGCTCCACTCCCCCTGCTCCACTCCTCCTGCTCCACTCCTCCTGCTCCTCTCCTCCTGCTCCACTCCCCTGCTCCACTCCTCCTGCTCCACTCCTCCTGCTCCACTCCCCTGCTCCACTCCTCCTGCTCCACTCCCCTGCTCCACTCCTCCTGCTCCACTCCTCCTGCTCCACTCCCCTGCTCCACTCCTCCTGCTCCACTCCCCCTGCTCCACTCCTCCTGCTCCTCCCTCCTGCTCCACTCCTCCTGCTCCACTCCTCCTGCTCCACTCCTCCTGCTCCTCTCCTCCTGCTCCACTCCTCCTGCTCCTCCCTCCTGCTCCACTCCTCCTGCTCCACTCCTCCTGCTCCACTCCTCCTGCTCCACTCCTCCTGCTCCACTCCTCCTGCTCCACTCCCCCTGCTCCACTCCTCCTGCTCCACTCCTCCTGCTTCCTTCCCCCTGCTCCACTCCTCCTGCTCCCCTCCTCCTGCTCCACTCCTCCTGCTCCTCCCTCCTGCTCCACTCCTCCTGCTCCACTCCTCCTGCTCCACTCCCCCTGCTCCACTCCTCCTGCTCCACTCCATCTGCTCCACTCCTCCTGCTCCACTCCCCCTGCTCCACTCCTCCTGCTCCACTCCTCCTGCTCCACTCCTCCTGCTCCACTCCTCCTGCTCCACTCCTCCTGCTTCCTTCCCCCTGCTCCACTCCTCCTGCTCCACTCCTCCTGCTCCTCCCTCCTGCTCCACTCCTCCTGCTCCACTCCTCCTGCTCCACTCCTCCTGCTCCTCTCCTCCTGCTCCACTCCTCCTGCTCCTCCCTCCTGCTCCACTCCTCCTGCTCCACTCCTCCTGCTCCACTCCTCCTGCTCCACTCCCCCTGCTCCACTCCTCCTGCTCCACTCCTCCTGCTCCACTCCTCCTGCTCCGCTCCTCCTGCTTCCTTCCCCCTGCTCCACTCCCCCTGCTCCACTCCTCCTGCTCCACTCCTCCTGCTCCACTCCTCCTGCTCCACTCCCCCTGCTCCACTCCTCCTGCTCCACTCCTCCTGCTCCTCTCCATCTGCTCCACTCCTCCTGCTCCACTCCTCCTGCTCCACTCCATCTGCTCCACTCCTCCTGCTCCACTCCCCCTGCTCCACTCCTCCTGCTCCACTCCTCCTGCTCCACTCCATCTGCTCCACTCCTCCTGCTCCACTCCTCCTGCTCCACTCCTCCTGCTCCACTCCCCCTGCTCCACTCCTCCTGCTCCACTCCTCCTGCTCCACTCCTCCTGCTCCACTCCTCCTGCTCCACTCCTCCTGCTCCACTCCTCCTGCTTCCTTCCCCCTGCTCCACTCCTCCTGCTCCTCTCCTCCTGCTCCACTCCTCCTGCTCCACTCCTCCTGCTCCACTCCCCCTGCTCCACTCCCCCTGCTCCACTCCTCCTGCTCCACTCCATCTGCTCCACTCCCCCTGCTCCACTCCTCCTGCTCCACTCCTCCTGCTCCACTCCTCCTGCTCCACTCCTCCTGCTCCTCTCCTCCTGCTCCACTCCCCCTGCTCCACTCCATCTGCTCCACTCCTCCTGCTCCACTCCTCCTGCTCCTCTCCTCCTGCTCCACTCCATCTGCTCCACTCCTCCTGCTCCTCTCCTCCTGCTCCACTCCCCCTGCTCCACTCCATCTGCTCCACTCCTCCTGCTCCTCTCCTCCTGCTCCACTCCATCTGCTCCACTCCTCCTGCTCCACTCCTCCTGCTCCACTCCGCCTGCTCCACTCCATCTGCTCCACTCCTCCTGCTCCACTCCTCCTGCTCCACTCCTCCTGCTCCTCCCTCCTGCTCCACTCCCCTGCTCCTCTCCTCCTGCTCCACTCCTCCTGCTCCACTCCTCCTGCTCCACTCCTCCTGCTCCACTCCTCCTGCTCCACTCCTCCTGCTCCACTCCCCTGCTCCACTCCTCCTGCTCCACTCCTCCTGCTCCACTCCCCCTGCTCCACTCCTCCTGCTCCACTCCTCCTGCTCCACTCCTCCTGCTCCACTCCCCTGCTCCACTCCTCCTGCTCCACTCCTCCTGCTCCACTCCTCCTGCTCCACTCCTCCTGCTCCACTCCCCCTGCTCCACTCCCCTGCTCCACTCCTCCTGCTCCACTCCTCCTGCTCCTCTCCTCCTGCTCCACTCCTCCTGCTCCACTCCTCCTGCTCCACTCCTCCTGCTCCACTCCCCTGCTCCACTCCTCCTGCTCCACTCCTCCTGCTCCACTCCCCTGCTCCACTCCTCCTGCTCCACTCCCCTGCTCCACTCCTCCTGCTCCACTCCTCCTGCTCCACTCCCCTGCTCCACTCCTCCTGCTCCACTCCCCCTGCTCCACTCCTCCTGCTCCTCCCTCCTGCTCCACTCCTCCTGCTCCACTCCTCCTGCTCCACTCCTCCTGCTCCTCTCCTCCTGCTCCACTCCTCCTGCTCCTCCCTCCTGCTCCACTCCTCCTGCTCCACTCCTCCTGCTCCACTCCTCCTGCTCCACTCCTCCTGCTCCACTCCTCCTGCTCCACTCCCCCTGCTCCACTCCTCCTGCTCCACTCCTCCTGCTTCCTTCCCCCTGCTCCACTCCTCCTGCTCCCCTCCTCCTGCTCCACTCCTCCTGCTCCTCCCTCCTGCTCCACTCCTCCTGCTCCACTCCTCCTGCTCCACTCCCCCTGCTCCACTCCTCCTGCTCCACTCCATCTGCTCCACTCCTCCTGCTCCACTCCCCCTGCTCCACTCCTCCTGCTCCACTCCTCCTGCTCCACTCCTCCTGCTCCACTCCTCCTGCTTCCTTCCCCCTGCTCCACTCCTCCTGCTCCACTCCTCCTGCTCCACTCCTCCTGCTCCTCCCTCCTGCTCCACTCCTCCTGCTCCACTCCTCCTGCTCCACTCCTCCTGCTCCTCTCCTCCTGCTCCACTCCTCCTGCTCCTCCCTCCTGCTCCACTCCTCCTGCTCCACTCCTCCTGCTCCACTCCTCCTGCTCCACTCCCCCTGCTCCACTCCTCCTGCTCCACTCCTCCTGCTCCACTCCTCCTGCTCCGCTCCTCCTGCTTCCTTCCCCCTGCTCCACTCCCCCTGCTCCACTCCTCCTGCTCCACTCCTCCTGCTCCACTCCTCCTGCTCCACTCCCCCTGCTCCACTCCTCCTGCTCCACTCCTCCTGCTCCTCTCCATCTGCTCCACTCCTCCTGCTCCACTCCTCCTGCTCCACTCCATCTGCTCCACTCCTCCTGCTCCACTCCCCCTGCTCCACTCCTCCTGCTCCACTCCTCCTGCTCCACTCCATCTGCTCCACTCCTCCTGCTCCACTCCTCCTGCTCCACTCCTCCTGCTCCACTCCCCCTGCTCCACTCCTCCTGCTCCACTCCTCCTGCTCCACTCCTCCTGCTCCACTCCTCCTGCTCCACTCCTCCTGCTTCCTTCCCCCTGCTCCACTCCTCCTGCTCCTCTCCTCCTGCTCCACTCCTCCTGCTCCACTCCTCCTGCTCCACTCCCCCTGCTCCACTCCCCCTGCTCCACTCCTCCTGCTCCACTCCATCTGCTCCACTCCCCCTGCTCCACTCCTCCTGCTCCACTCCTCCTGCTCCACTCCTCCTGCTCCACTCCTCCTGCTCCTCTCCTCCTGCTCCACTCCCCCTGCTCCACTCCATCTGCTCCACTCCTCCTGCTCCACTCCTCCTGCTCCTCTCCTCCTGCTCCACTCCATCTGCTCCACTCCTCCTGCTCCTCTCCTCCTGCTCCACTCCCCCTGCTCCACTCCATCTGCTCCACTCCTCCTGCTCCTCTCCTCCTGCTCCACTCCATCTGCTCCACTCCTCCTGCTCCACTCCTCCTGCTCCACTCCGCCTGCTCCACTCCATCTGCTCCACTCCTCCTGCTCCACTCCTCCTGCTCCACTCCCCCTGCTCCACTCCTCCTGCTCCACTCCTCCTGCCCCACTCCTCCTGCTCCACTCCCCCTGCTCCACTCCTCCTGCTCCACTCCTCCTGCTCCACTCCTCCTGCTCCACTTCTCCTGCTCCACTCCATCTGCTCCACTCCTCCTGCTCCACTCCTCCTGCTCCACTCCTCCTGCTCCACTCCCCCTGCTCCACTCCCCCTGCTCCACTCCTCCTGCTCCACTCCATCTGCTCCACTCCTCCTGCTCCACTCCTCCTGCTCCACTCCCCCTGCTCCACTCCTCCTGCTCCACTCCTCCTGCTCCACTCCTCCTGCTCCACTCCTCCTGCTCCACTCCTCCTGCTTCCTTCCCCCTGCTCCACTCCTCCTGCTCCACTCCTCCTGCTCCACTCCTCCTGCTTCCTTCCTCCTGCTCCACTCCTCCTGCTCCACTCCCCCTGCTCCACTCCTCCTGCTCCACTCCTCCTGCTCCACTCCTCCTGCTTCCTTCCCCCTGCTCCACTCCTCCTGCTCCACTCCTCCTGCTCCACTCCTCCTGCTTCCTTCCTCCTGCTCCACTCCTCCTGCTTCCTTCCCCCTGCTCCACTCCTCCTGCTCCTCTCCTCCTGCTCCACTCCTCCTGCTCCACTCCTCCTGCTCCACTCCTCCTGCTCCACTCCCCCTGCTCCACTCCCCCTGCTCCACTCCTCCTGCTCCACTCCATCTGCTCCACTCCTCCTGCTCCACTCCCCCTGCTCCACTCCTCCTGCTCCACTCCTCCTGCTCCACTCCTCCTGCTCCACTCCTCCTGCTCCACTCCTCCTGCTTCCTTCCCCCTGCTCCACTCCTCCTGCTCCACTCCTCCTGCTCCACTCCTCCTGCTTCCTTCCTCCTGCCTGCTCCACTCCTCCTGCTTCCTTCCCCCTGCTCCACTCCTCCTGCTCCACTCCCCCTGCTCCACTCCTCCTGCTCCACTCCTCCTGCTCCACTCCCCCTGCTCCACTCCTTCTGCTCCACTCCTCCTGCTCCACTCCTCCTGCTCCACTCCTCCTGCTCCACTCCTCCTGCTCCACGCCTCCTGCTCCACTCCTCCTGCTCCACTCCTCCTGCTCCACTCCTCCTGCTCCACTTCTAGTGCTCTACTTCTGCTCCCAAGTTTTTCCACACATTCAAAATTACTAAGACAACTTTAATATTTCCGTCATCTTAAGACACAAACCGAAAGCTATTTTGTTTGTGTTTTGTTTTTTGAAAGACCACAACAAAGGGTTGGGTCTCACAAACTACTGTGGGATGAAAGCAAAATGGTTGTTGAAGCAATGGATCTAATGTTTGGGATTATCCATTTAACAAAGTGGTGGTGCATACAGTTTGGGCTTTAAAGAGACATTATGTAATATTGTCATTTCAAATTCATCAACGTTGTTTGTGTTCCAAGATAACAGGTCACATGTACACATATATGAGTCCTCAGATAACAGGTCACATGTACACATATATGAGTCCTCAGATAACAGGTCACATGTACACATATATGAGTCCTCAGATAACAGGTCACATGTACACATATATGAGTCCTCAGATAACAGGTCACATGTACACATATATGAGTCCTCAGATAACAGGTCACATGTACACATACAGTGGTACGCAAAAGTTTGGGTATACCCCTACCATTTTTTAGGATTTTCCTTTGTTTTTATTGGTAGTTATGATAAGGCATTTCAGTTAAATATGTCACATATTTCACACATACACAGTGATATTTGAGAAGATAGATAAAGTTTGTCTCATTGAAAAAGTGTGCAAACATTATTTAAACCAAATTAGGCACATGCACTACAAAATAAACATATATTTTTTATTAATATAACATTTGCTTAATCTGATCCCTTTTCAAACCAAAGCAAGAGACATTTAGAACAGGGAAAAATGGGAAAAATTTACAAAACTGTGCAGGAGATGCACAGTTGTGACTATAATACAATAGTCACAATAGTCTATTGTGACTATTGTGACTATTATACTACGTACCCGGCTCATACCTGGGCACAACTGCGCACCAGCTCTAACTGAAGACTTGATGCAATAAATGTGAGTAATCTGGATTAAAAATGGAAATAGTTTGAAACCACTATTAAATACCCATGAATGGATTCCCCTGTGTATGAAGGTAAAGGGTCACTGAGGTTGCAAACCAAATTAAGTTCCAATGATTAGTGCTAAAGGTATTGAAATCAATACAATTCACCTACATTTATGCACAGGCCTGATTATTTATTATTAATTTTAATAATACAACTTTATATAATTTCTAAAATATATTTGTCACCTATATGATATATTTAATTGATAACCAATGATTTATAAAGGGAAAATCATACAAATGTATACGGACCTCCCAGTGAGGGCTTCTTCTTGCAGAGCAGCATCTGCAGTCAGAACTCTCGTTTTACAGCTCAGAGCTCTAGATTCCCCCCACCCTAGGTTATGATCTTTCGATAATAACCCAAATGCCAAGATTGTGGAGACAAGCCATCCACATTAGTTTCCTATGCAGAGTGGAGCTCCCTTTGAGCACCTCCCATGTAACTGAGCTCCTCACCCTATCTCTGAGTAGAGCTGCTGCTCCCTTAGATATAGAGAGCCACTGCTTCTCCACATAGAAATGTGCCACTTGGAGAGGTGTTCCAGGTATGTCCCACTGGGAGAAGACCAGGGGAAGATCCAGAACCCGCTGGAGGGAGTGTGTCTCTTAGCTGGCCTGGGATTGCCTCGAGAGTCCCCCAGATGAGCTAACAGAATTGTGTGTGGGGAGAGAAGTTTGTTCTTGTTGTAATCGTAATGAAAGCCACGGCTGTTACGGTCCCGCCCGTGTCCTTGTTGACCGTGTTGTTCCTGCTGATGGCGAGTTATTATTGTAGCCTCTTTATTTGTGTTTTTAATGTACTGATCTGATTTCACCGCAGATGTTAGTATGGCTCGCGCTAGTCAAATAAACTGTAATCGGGCACTTCTTGGAGCCGCTGTTCCATGGTGCCAGCTCTGAGTGGAGATGGGACTTTCCAGTGATGGGAGAGATTTTCACAGCTGTAGCACTGATGTTCATGACTCCTCTGTTTATACTTCCTCACACGAGAAACTGGGGGAGAAGAGATGGCATACACAGAGTTGATGGTGTGGTTTATCATTAAGGAGAGCCCTGGGAGTCACTATCTGAGGCATTGGGCTGAAGAGAAGTTTGATTAGCGGTAATGATCCCAGAAATTTGATCAGTTAACCCCTGTTAAAGCTGAGGTACATACACACACTTATGCTGTCTTTGTCTTGTATTATTTTGTACATTTGACTTTGTATGAAACAGCCTTGTGAGAGAGGGCGGTCCTTTCTCTCTGAAAAAGGTGATTTGAAAATGACAAGCCAAAAATGCATGATGTGAAAATGAGGGATATAGCTTTGTGGATTTGGAGAAGGCGTTCGACCGTGTTCCCCGGGGTTTCCTTTGGGGGGTTCTCCGGGAGAACGGGGTCCTCTGCTGAGGGCCGTCCGGTCCCTGTATGACCAGAGCCAGAGCAGTAAGTCAGACCTGTTCCCGGTGCATGTTGGCCTTCGCCAAGGCTGCCCTTTGTCACCGGTTCTGTTCACTGTCTTTATGGAAGAGGGGGCCGGATGCCTCCACGCGAGGAGGCCCCTGGGAAGACCCAGGACACGCTGGAGAGATTATGTCTCTCAGCAGGCTTGGGAACGCCTTGGGGTCCCCCCGGACAAGCTGGAGGAAGTGTGTGTGGATAGGGAATTCTCGGGGCGTCTCTGCTTAGACTGCTGCCCCCGCGACCCAGCAACGGATGAAGCAGAAGAAAATGGATGGCTTGGAAAACATCATTTGTAAATTTAAGTAGTGCCTTAGTAGTTGAGCAGGCCGGACAGGAAGCCTGACTGTTGGGGAGATAAGACGTTATGGTTACAGTTGGCGGAAAATGATCTTTTCCATTATTCATTCATTCATTATCTTCCCCTTAATCCATTTCTGGGTCGAGGGGGTGGCAGTCAGAGCTGCACCCAGTACACAGAGCCCCAGCCCCTCACTGATCCTCCTGCAGGAGCTGAGTCCACAGGAGCTGAGATCTTTCAGTGGGGGCTTCAGGCAAAGTGGGGTTAAGTGTCTTGCCCAAGGACACAACGACAGCATTCATCAGTGGGAGTCGTGAAGTAGGTCTCATGGTGGGCTTGAACCCACGACCTTCAGGCTCAAAGGCCAACGCTCTACCAACTGAGCTACTGTCTTTTCCATTATTTCAGTGATAATGCACAGAGATGGGCCGATAGTTACTTACATCGGAGTGGTCTCCACCTTTAAAGATGGGAGTAGAACTTGCAGTTTTCCAGATGAGAGGGACAGAGCACGTACTTAGTGACAGGTTAAACAGGTCGGTTAGTCGATAGATAAGCACACTAGATCTAAGCCTTCTGGACCAGCCACACTGTTAGTTTTAAGCTTGTTTATAGCTCGTATTACATCAAAGTGTGAAATCTGATTAAAATAACATGTCTCAGGAACAACGTCAATTAGTGGATTAGGTAAGTATGGATGACCAGAGTGCTGTGTACTACTTATGGAGGAGAAATATTCATTAAAGCATTCGGAGATTAAGTAAAGATCAGCAATTGTAGTATTATTAACAGTAACATGATTGGTTTTGTTTCTTTTGGACCGACCCAAAAGCTGGTCCAGGTGTTCCCAAAATGGTTTAGGATTATTGTAGTTCAGACCGAGGGGTTCCTTATAGTGATTGGACTTGGCATTCCTAGTTTGGGTTTTGGATTGATTCCTGAGTTGTCTATAGATCTCCAGTCGTTAGGGTCCTCTCATTCCTAGTTTGGGTTTTGGATTGATTCCTGAGTTGTCTATAGATCTCCAGTCGTTAGGGTCCTTAGACTCTCTGTATTTAGTCCAAGCTTGGTCTCGACGTTGAAAAAGATTAATTAAATCAGAGCTGATCTATGGAAGATGCCGTCCTTTTACACAAATAGTTTTAAATGGGGCAAGTTTATCAATTACTTTAAGGACTTCAGAATGGTTCACCCCAAATATAAAACTTTTGGGGTTAGGTGTTAGGTGGGGTTCTACATGTACCTTCAAAATGACCACAGAGAATTTTGATCAGTGAAAAGTTGTTTGAGCAGCGGAGCGGCACATACAAAGTCTGATTAGCACAAAACTTTAATACGTTGTTCAACTCTAGGGTCTAGGTCAATTGAAAGTGAAATAAATGAACTTGGCTCATTAGCGCCCCCTACAGATGGTGTCAAAGTTTTTAGTATGGGAGGGGCTCGAGGTCAAGTTTGTCGTATAGCCATGAAATTCGGTACATATGTTCCTCAAGTCAAGACATACAAACAAAGGTATTATGGCCCCGCCCCCTGACAAACAGGAAGCTCATAAATTTCATTTCAAAATGGAACCATGAAAAGCAATCATTTTCATATTTTCATACTGTTTTACAGATTGGCCTCAAAATCTCTCCACATCATCTCAACACATGTACCATCAAAATGACTTCAGGGATTTTTGATGAGTTAAACAATGTACGAGCAGCGGAGCGGCAAAATTTGACCTATTTTTTGCCATTTTTTACGATAGAAAAAAAGCTCCCGTTTGCACATACAAAGTCCGATTTGCGTAAAACTTGAATCCATTGTTCAACTCCAGGGTCTAGGTTATTTGAAAGTGAAATAATTTAAATTGGCCCATTAGCGCCCCTTACAGACTATGTCAAAGCCAAACCAACTGGTCATATTCATTACAATTTCACAAACATTGTTCTATGGCTACTGGAACAAATCATGTCAGGTGGCACCACCTCCGTTGCGCTGCGCGGCGTGATGAGGGCCGGTGCGGGCCATTGTGGCACATGGCAGAGTGGGGCGGGGCGGTGTGGGGCAGTGTGGCGGAGGCGGGTCAACGTGGTGCAGTGCAGGGTGGTGCAGTGCAGTGCTGGGCTGTGCGGTGCGGCGAGGGCCGTTCAACGCCGCTTGCGGCTTTAATTATTATTATTATAATTAAACTAATGTGTGAGAGACTTTTCAACTCTCAGCCCAAGTCTCAGTGCGCCAGAGTCTAAAGCGTCAGAGCAGCATTCAAATCTATTTTTCTGAGTGAAGTTGGAATCAGGGCCAAGTCCATGGAAACCATGTTTATTTGTAGTCTGCAGTTCTTTGAGGAGAAGGTTCTGTGGTGTTTTCTAACCCACTCACTCGCAGTCTTTATGTTCACGTATGTCCTCCAAGAGGGAACAGGATAGATGTCCACTTTGTGCCGAGCGCTGCCCGTTCTACATGCATGGATGGCCTGAGCATGCAACGGGTTTACGGATTGTGTTGCTAGAAAGCTGTGATAAAGTCCACTTTGTGCGAGTGGGTCTTGTTTGGATGGAGTTCATATACATTTCCATCCCTCAATTCTCTTTAGCGTGTGTCGTCCATGAACTTCTATGGCAGTGTGGAGTCTTTTGTGGACTAATATATACAAATATTAGGGTGGTCCTTACAGACGGGTACATTTTCAGATTAATGTTTTGTTTCAGATATTTTTGTTTTCCAACAACATTTACCCCTCCCTCAATGAGACTGAAGTTTAGCCTTATTTCGTCACTATTGCTTACTAGGCAACAATATATCAAACTATGCTGAAGTTTAACCCATTGAGGATGGGAACGCATTCTTGCGTTTCTACCTTTCAAGCCGGGAGTGCTGTTGGAATCAGGGCCAATATCCCCGGCCATAAAGGCCATAAAGGCCTTCTACCTTTAAGGCCGGGAAAGCAGACACGTCTTTTTTTCTTTTTTTGACCTATTCTCTTCATTGATCAATTCTCTTGACCAATGAATTGCATCAACATATACCAGTGATGAGAATTATCTGTGGATCCGCAAATTCCGACTTTCTTGCTGAAAATATCATTTCTGTGAAATGTGTGACCGCGGGCGTTACATACTCGATCGGGATTAACATCCACCGTTCTGACCCCGGGAGCAACTGTGCAG